TTGGGGTTCCGAGCGCAACGGCAAGGTCAGCAAGGACAGGAGAATGACAAGGGCACACCTGCGACCACCGCCCAGTCGAAGAACGCACTCGCCGACGCCCTGGCTCTGGTCCAGAGGGCCGCCGAGGGCAAGTGCGAGTTCCCGGCAGTTCTCCTGGCGCTCCGGGATGAGGGCCCGAAAGGCCCGACAAGGCCGCGGACCTGGCCGGCAAGCCGCTTGCGCAGATCTTGCAGAGTCAGAGCGACAAGGTCAAGCAGATCGAAAAGGCCAAGCTACGGGTTGCGGAGCGGGCCGAGGAGCTGGCGAAGGCGCAAGAGGCCTACGACCAGGAGCTCGCCTAGCTGCGCGAGCACTTGAAGTGGAAGGCAGAGCTCGATTAGCTGGCGCGCGCGAACAACATGGAGGCCGCAATGCCGGGGAGCGGAGGTGGGCTCCCACGGGGCGCCAGCCTCGGCCCCAGCGGCATCGACTCCGTCGTCCAGCTTATGGAGCGGGCCAGCAAGGGCCCCGCGCTGGCCCCCCTCAACATCGGCGCCTTTCCCGTGGTCGAGGGCTTCAAGAAAGGCCAAGGCCGAGCGGGCTGCTGAGCAGTAATTAGCGGGCCGCTGAGGGCAAGGCTCCCGATGGTACTCCTGCCGCCGCAGCTGGCGGCACTGCCCCGGGACGAGGCGGGCCCCCAGGGAGCGCCGACCACATGCACGTCGACACTGCGGTGTCCAACCTTGAGATTGATGACGACCTGGCCGAGCGCGTCGGAAGCGCCCTCGAGGGCAAGGGGATGGGCAAGCCACAGCGGGGCCTCAAGAGGGAGGAGGACCGTCGGGTCCTCACCCAGTCACCCAGTCACCCCGTCGGGTACTCACCCAGTCACCCTAACCTCAGAAGGCCGGTCGGGTCCTTCACCCAGTCAAGCGACAGAAGCATGGGTACAAGGGCCAAGGGGCCCGAGCCTGGCCAGGGCCACCTGTTCGGGGTCGTCGACGCCCTCGCCAGGCAGTCCGCAGGAGGCATCCCCACTTTCGCGATGGAGGTCCTCGCCAGCAAGACTTCGTGGAGTTCGCGGACGCTTGCGCCCGCGAGCGGGGCCCCTCCGCGGGGCTTGCAGGGAGGTCCGCGGGGCTCTGTTCCTGAGCCCAGCTTCGCTCCGCCGTTGTCGCCAGAGCCGCATGTTGTCAGCAGCGTTCTGTGCGGGCGCGATGCCTGTCTTCCGAAGGCGGCCGATAGGCGGCCGCCAGTCGGTGGCCCGATGGACCTGCCGCCGGCTCGGTGCGCGCCGACGGCGGAGGAGCTCCAACTCGTCACCGCCGCCCCTAACAGCTGGGCTTCGGGGCAAGGGCTGCCGGAGTGGTTCGCCGCCGAGGGCGCGCCGGCGGATATCGCGCGCGCGCAGGGGCACCGCCGCAAAGTTGCCGGCGAGTCGCCCTCGGCACAGAAGTGGGCTCGGTGCGCTTGGCGCAACCTCCGCGGAGCTCTGGCAGCGCGCGCGGGGCCAGGTCCGCTTGGCGACAAGGGATGGCGCGCGGTACAGTCCAAGGTGCCGTTGCTGGCCGCGCAGAGAGAACAAGGAGACAGCCTGCCCGCGCACCGCGCGCAGGTGGTGAAGGTCAACGCTGGCTTCGGCATCCCTATATTCGTGCTGTCGGCTTACATGCAAAATAGCCTGGGCGTGGCAGGCGACGACATATTGTACTTGAAGGCTCCCACGGCGCTGGTCGGCGGCCCAGTGTGGCCGTGGATAGTCATGGACTATTGGACCATCGAGCCCGGGGACTCCGCCAGCTGGACCAAGCAGTCGGCCAGCGTGCTGGTCCGACCGCGCAGCAAGCCCCGATGCTAGACCTCTGGAGGGTCGCCCGTCTGCGCGGTTTTGAAACGCCCAACTCGGCGGTTGAATAGGCGAAGCAGTTGCAACGGGCTCGCAAGGAACCCGATGCCGAGAATCTCAACTTGTGGCCCAGCCCAGGAGAGGAAGGGGCCTAGTGTGCCCCGGCCGCGCAGCGGCGAGGCGGACTTTCTGCCTACGCACCACTACATGTATTATTACCATTGCGTCCTCCTCGCCCTCCTCTTCCTCATCGGTCTAATTATTTGACTCCTTCGTCTCTCTTCCCACCTCAATTTCACCACCCTTTTTCCCTTCCTCCTCGTCAAGAATCCATCAGGGAACCACCAGGAATTCCCAGGCGTTCTCCAGGATCCATTCGGGATCTACACGAATCTTCCGGTTTCCATGAGGAAGGCTTCAGGAAACCACCACGAATTCATGAAAAATCCGTCCGGAGTCCATCAGGCAACCATCAGGAATGTTCAAGATTTGTTTCGGGAATCCTTAAGAGTCATGAGGCATGCTTGGGGCATGTTCAGGAGTTCCGAAAAATGCTTGAGGAGCCTTTGGGACTCGCGAGGGATCCCCCATCGTCATTTCAGGGGTCTCGAGGGAACATCTACGGAAATTCCTAAGAAACATTTTAAACAGGACCTCCCAAAAGTCCTTCCAACGCGGTTAGAATTTGCATCAGTTGGTTAGGATTGGTACGGGGATTGTTGAGATCCGCCTTCGTTGGTTGCTCCGGATCTCATAACAATGGGGAGGGGGTCTGCTTTTGGGGGGGGTCTAACGGGCTACGTCAAACACAATTGTGGGGGGTCTCGATTTTGGACCCTTTGTTGCCTGTCTGGGGGGGGTCTACTTGGGGGGGGGTCCCAGACCGGCCGTCAAACACATTTTTGACCCCCCCGCTTGTATTATGAGATCTGGAGTATGATTTGTTTCATTTGCGGATCGCCCCCCCCCCCCCGGGGGGGGGGAAGGGTGGACGGGCCGCTTCGAACACCCCCTTCCCCTCGAGCCTCCCCCCCGATTGAAGAGGCCAATCTCCGCCCCCCGCCCCTGGTTTTCTTGGTTCCCTGAGCGCGTCAGGCGTGATATGGCGGGGGGGGGGGGTCCAGTTCCGACGTGCCCAGGGAATTCTTCCAATCGCATCGTGTTTTTTGCAGAGGATGGTGTGTGTGTGGGGGGTGGGGGGGGGGGGGGGGGGGGGGGGGGGGCGATGCCGGCCCCCATGGGATCTTGTAAATTTGTATTTCGTATGGGCGATGGGGCAGAACCATATGTAAATTGCAATGCGAAAAAGAGAATCGTGAAATCCGGGGGAGGGGTAGAACCTATTTCCTTTTTAGAAAGGAGACTTGATTTAACAAGCGAGTCAAGCGTCCACGAAACGCGCTGTCTCCTAAGTCGGGGAAGTACCTTTTCGTGGCCGACGCACGCATTTGACGGAACAGTCCTTTCGTTCTACGTGCAGCGCCTCTCGTGGTAGCACGAACCCAGTATCCGTCCTTTTCTTCTCTGGCCCTTCCCTCCTCCATTCCCTTGTTTCCTTTTCCATCGTCGTGCCTTCTGCTTGTCTGTTCTTTCCATTCTCATCCATCTTCACCTATCCTCCCCATCATCATCCTCCTTCCTAATTTCCCCTTCTGCCTTCATCCTGTAGGCATCCTGCTTTCGTTTTGCTCTCCCCCTCTTCCCTCCTCCATCCTTGACATGGCTGACTCTCGCTCTAACTCAAGTTTGAAGTTTCGCTGGGCGCGGACGTCTGTTCCATTCTCTAGCGCGGCCTATTGCAGCATCCCTCCTTGCCCTCCCTCTCGGTGTTGACAGCACAGCCTCGACTGCCTGGCCGGCGGCCGCTCTGCAGCTTGTCGCCATGTCCCTGTTCGGCGGGGACAATGAGCTGGGAAACATGTTGCAGGAGGCCGTCAAGCTCAAGTCCGCGCAGATGGACGAAAAGAGAAGAACCTATCCATTCTCGCTGCCGCGCGTGCGTCCAAGCGCTGCACTAAGGGCCACCTTGAGTTCAGGAGGGTCCCTCGATGTGTTGGGGCAGTTTCTCGGGTCGGGGTCGGGGAGGTGTGCTCACGGCGGAAGCTCGCCGTGCCGTTTTGAGTTCATGCTTCTGGAGCTCCTCATGGCAGCGCGATGCGGTGGCGGCATTGGGGTAAGGGACGTCTTCCTGTGTCCCAGAGCCTGGCGCGTTCCTCCTGGTCTCAAGGCGAGCTGGGTGGCCCACGTCTGGCCGGCCATCGGTCGCGAGACCCCTCGGTCCCTTATCGAAGGTATCCCGATCGAAAGCCTCCACCCCAGCCGTATCCGTCACAGTGCCCTGGAGGGGGGAGCGGGGGCAGGGCGCAGAGGGCGGGGGTCGATCCGCGGGGACGGTCGTGGCAAGAGAAGGGCGGGGGGGGGGGCAGGGAAGGGCGGGCGCCCTCTGAAGCTCTGGCGCCCCCCGCGGCTTGGCTTGGCGTTCTCACGCCTCCAGGCTCCGCCTCGTCCTCTCCCTCTCCCTCTCCTCTCTCTGTTCCTCTCTCTCTCTCTCCCTCTCTCTCTCTTTTTGTTCTCTCTCTCTCTCTCTCGCTGTCTCTCTCTCTATCCCTCTCTCTCTCTCTCTCCCTCTCTCCCTTTCTCTTTACACCGTCTTGAGGCCAGAGTTTCGGCCACGTTCGCAGGACAGCCCGGCTATGTTGCCGGGAGCGTGCACGTCCCAGTGGTGCTATGATTGCGTTCTCGTTGCGCACGCCTGTTGTCGAGTCTGTTGTGCCGCAAGCTTGTGTTTGGCGATTGTGCCGCCATTGGAAATTTATTAGCTTTCCAACTGCCCTGGATCATTAATGCAAAGCATTAAAAAGTGATGTTTGTGCTGGTGAACCACTGAGTGCCCTCGTGCGCGATCGAGATCTGACCAGGAGTTGGCACCATAATCTCCTGGCAGCGAGAACCTACTTCTCGCATTGCTTCATGTGGCGGTGGCGACGTAAACGCTCAAGAGCGACATCGAAGAGAGTAGGAGTGCGTTCCTCCCCCTGACAGCAAATCTCACGACCACGACGTGCGGCAGGGCGCGGCGGCGGATCAGAAGTGGCCCTTCTTCGTCCAGCACACGCTCTTCCACGGCGAGAAGGAGGACTTCAAGAGCCAGCGGCTGCTGCCCTTCGCGGACAAGATGAAGATCAGTGAGAGGCTCAAGGACTTGGCCGCTGGCAGCTCATGGGCAGCGTTCGCACGGATACAGTCGGAGCGCTGAAGAAGGAACCCTTCTCGTTGGGGAGGGGCTCGGTGTTCCTTGACTGTTTCACAGTTTGCCTCGGGTTTTCCTGAGGTTTCCATGGGAAATCGAGGTTGAATGTATAGGAAAAAGGGGCCTCGTTCCTTATTATTTCGGGTTCCTTAGGTCAACGCCTCGACTGTAGGCTCAGAGGGAAGGACGCATCGACCCTCAATCGCCCATCCATCGCCGACGGGGGCCATTGTGTCAAGGCTCGTTTGAACACTCTGCGCACGGCCGTGTGCGCGTTCACCGCCGCCTTCCGCGTCGCCGCCTCACGCTGCGGCGCAGCCCTGCTGTGGTGACGTGCAGTCAGTGAGGTCGGGGAGCGCAACGCATCGTCCCCGATGGGAGCCTCAAAGCCCAGACCCCGGCCAGGAATGTACGGCTCCGCTCTTCGGGGACCGCTCGCCGATCTCTCGGGCGATGGGTCGCGGATCCCAGGTCGACGTGTCCCCATGCCCCCCCCCCCGAGCGCTCCCCCTCGGCAGTCGGGGAGGGGGCATCAGACGAGGCGGGGCCGAGGGTTGCAGGAAAGCGTGGGGCCCGAAGGGGTCCTCTTGCCGGCCTGGAAACTGCCACCGCGCCCCCGACAGGGGATGACACTTGACTCGTCGTTGTCCTGCTCCCCCCGTTCAGTGCGAAGGCCTTACGCCGCCAACCTTGAGGGCGTTTTTGGGCTTCTTGGCGTCTTTAGGGGCCTCTTGAAGGCCTGGGGGCTTCTTAGGGCGGAAGGCTCGGATTTTCGGGTCGCGTTTCCTCTCATGAGCCTCTCTTGGGGCCGTCTTGGAGCCCTCGTGGGCCGTCGTGGGCGCTTGTTGGAGTGTCTTGGAGCGCCTTTGGGAAGTCGGGGGGCTCTCCTGGAAGCCTCTTCTTTATTTCCAGCCCCCACCACTAACGGACGCCCGAAAGGAGGAGGGGAACAAGCTTTACACGAGCGGGCAGTGGTCGGACGCCGTTGACAAGTACGAGGAGGCCTGCACCTTGATACACTACTGCTACAGCACCGACCCAGGCTGGCGCAAGAACAACCGCGGCATCGACGACGACGTGATAGTCTTCGTCGACGACACCGGCTCCACCGAGGAGGAGGCCGCGCAGCAGCGCCGGCACCGGCTCACGTGTGCGCTGAACATCGCGGCCTGCAAGCAGAAGCTTGAGAAATATGACGAAGTCATCGTTGCTTGCAACGTCTGCCTGGAGCTGGACCCGCGCAACGTCAAGGCCCTGTACAGGCGGGCCGAGGCACGGATAAGGCCGTCGAAGGCCACAGCATACGATCACGATCTCGCGATCACAGATCTCGCCCGAGCTCAGGAGGCCGATCCGCAGAACCAGGAAATCAAGAAGCTCTTGTCGAGGCTGCGGGCCGAGAGGAAGGTTCAGCGCTCCAAGGATGCAGAGACTTTCACTGGCATGTTCGATCGTGGGCAAGTCTATAGGAAGGAGGACGAGGAAAACTTGGACACTGTCCGTGGGCTGGTGCCGAAGCAAAACGAGGCCGACATGAGCGCCATCCAGGAGAGGATCGAGGGCATCTCCGACGATGACCCTCTGGAAAAGCGGTGCGCCGACGCCGAGCTGTTGCGCGACATGTACATGCGGAACGGCAAGGAGGAAGAGGCCAGGGAGCTCAACGAGAAGATTGAGCAGGCGAAGCAGGCGATCCGCCAGCAGCGGAACCCAGAGCCGGCCCAGCAGCAGAAAGTCGATTGGAACGCTCCGACGCCGGAGATGATCGAGGATGCGAAGAAGTATGGCTTGGACCTCACTGACCCCGCGATCATCGAAGAGCTGAAGCGGATGGAGAAGGACGGCATCCCGCCCGAGGGCTCCGACGACGCTCCCGGCGCGTCGTCCGCTGGCGGGCTGGGCTTCGGCGCGTTCGTGGATCACCCGTCGAAGATGCCCGACGGGCCTCCAGTGCCGTGGATGAGTTACCTGGTGCCTCGCCGTGGACACAAGGGGGCCCTGGAAGCAACGGGCCTTGGTGGCTTCCGGCGACGAGAGAAGGGGGGATATGAGAAGGGGCGGGCCTTCCCGGAAGGCTCGGAAGTCTCGGCAGGCTCGGAAGTCCCCCCGGCCCCCAGCCTTCCCCGAAGACACAGGACGTTTCGCAGAAGGCGCGAGGGCTTCTGAGAAGGTCCGCCGCCTTCTGAGGAGGCCTTCTTCTTCTCATTTCCCCCCTCGCTCGCCTCCGAGCTTGCAGACAACGTTGGCCATGAGCGCCTGGCTCTGATCCTTGGCGGCCTGGGGACACCTTTGCCCTTCCAACGTGAACTGGCGTGGGTCGTCTTGGCCGCGGTGGGTTCTGCACGGGCCAGGGTCGCCTCCTCCTCCTCCTCCTCCTCCTGCTCCTCCTCCTCCTGCTCCTGCTCCTCCTCCTCCTCTGCAGCGGCGCGGGCTGCAGGCCCTGCAAGCCGCCAACACCGCGGCATGCCGCGAGCTGCGCCCGGCGGCGGCCTCAGCGCGCAAGCCCCGCCTGCAACGCACGCACGCGGCTGCAGCTGCCCAGCTGTTATTTCCCGAGAGCTTCGATGCCACGATCCGTCGACGCCTCCGTATGCTTGGTGGCCTGCCCGGGCGGTCCCCCTTGACCTCCGCCGAAGGTGGCTGCGTCTGGAAGCCCAGCTGGCCGTCGCCGCCCCAGGCAATTGCTGGGCGACCGTCCGCAGTTTCGCAGGCGCCTGACCCACTTCGTACCGCATGCACGTGGGACATCCCCGACTGCCGTGCCGGTGGCAATGCGAGGACGGCATTGACAAGGTATCAGATTACTTAGAGTGCCGTGGAGCCTGGTGGTGCGTGTGCCTCGCGCAGCATTTCACACGACAGCACCCTGCATCATCTCGGGCTGGGCACGCAGGAGGACTACGACGCAGACCCGCAGGGCAAAGACGGCCTGCCCCGAACGATCCCTCGGCTGGCCACGCTGCATCACACCTGCAGTCTGCTCCGACATTGTCCAGGGCCGCTGCAGCCGGGCCCTTTGTGGGCAACGGAAACGGGAGGGCCGTTTTTTCACCGTTTCCAAAAAAAGGTCCCTTGAAAGTGGAAACGGCAAAAAAACGGCGACCAGAAACGGCCAAAAAACGGCTCCAGGATTGGACCCGGAGCCGGAACCGGTCAAAAAACGGCGCCAGAACCGGTAAAAAAGCGGCGTCGGAACCGGTAAAAAAACGGCAAAACGGAACCGGTAAAAAAACGGCCCTGTCGTTTCCAGGGCCCACAAAGGCCGGGCCCCGTGGTGGCAGAGGCGCTGGCGCGCGCGGCCGCCCACCGCGTCCAGGTCCCACCGATCTGACGGGAGCCGCAGCCCATTGGGTCGGTGACCTGCGCGGGCGGCCCTGCAGCACCAGGAAGGTAACCGACCCCGGCGCGCGCTGCCCGGCACGCCCAGCGGCGCCCAGCCCACACGGCGCAGGGGTGGGGTGGGCCCATACGAAATCTCCAGTGCCTCTGAGCAGGCCCGCATCGCGCGGCGGTCCGAGGCGCTAACCTCGCTCCCCTCTGCTACGGGCGCTCCTCCTCCTCCTCCTCCTCCTCCTCCTCCTCCTCCTCCTTCCCGCCCTCGCCGCCAAACCACCTCGAGGACCCCCAGGGCGGCCCTCGCTGGGTCCGCGCAGGGCCGCCAGGAAGCGGCTCGCGGGGACGGACAGCTCGTCCAGGGGGACAGCCCCGCCTGGCGGGCCCAGAGCCCGCTCCATCCCGGACCCATGCCCTGAGAGCGGACGTCGCGGCAAAGGTGGGAAATTGGAGCACAGACGCCGATCAGAAATCTTAAGAAAGAGCGTAACTATTCATGGGCCCCAGAATTCCTTCATGAGAATCAAGGATCTGGACTGGACCCCGAGCGTGTTTGTTCGGAGTTTCCTCTCTTCGTTGGACGCTCGTAGATGTAGACCTGGACTACATACTAAGAAACAGCTTCGAGTGAAGTACATTTTCCTAGCGTAGAGTTAACTAACTCAAAGCACGGGTGTATACATTACCAGTGGCGGGCTGTTTTTCGCTCCCAGGGCTTTTGAGGATCGGGGGCGACGTCGGGGTGGTGTGGTGTACACACACATTGTTTGATCCGTTCCATGGGGAAACAGCGAAAATGCATACACCAGGGTCCCGTATACACCAGGATCCGTTTTCCTGTGTAGTTTTTAGTGCAGGGTCGGAAAAAGTCTCGGTGTATTATAGAGCTCGCTTCCTTAAATCATGCACCATCCCAGAAAGTCAGAGCCGGAGCCCTAGACCCCACTCTTCTGCAGCACCTCGCCCGAAACGAGGCAGCATCGCCCATGGCAGAACGAGTGCGACGCCAGGACCTCAGAGGAGCCTGCAGCGCTCCTCCCCTTTGGCTCCCGCTGGTCATTTCGAGCTGCTCCTGCGACGGCCCCGCGGAAGGAGGAGGAGGACGAGGAGGAGGAGGAGGAGGAGGAGGAGGACGAGGAGGAGGAGGAGGAGGAGGAAGAGGAGGAGGAGAAGGAGGAGGAGGAGGAGGAGGAGGGAGGAGGGGGAGCAGGGGGAGGAGGGGGAGGGGGAGGAGAAGCGCCATCTGCGGGGACCCTCGCGCCAAGAGGTGCTTTTCGCCGCCGTCTTCGGCGCGTGGCGGCTGGTGCACGCGGGTCTCCTCCGATGGGCCGTCCTCCTGGCCTACAGGCGCACGGCTGGCGCGGTGTCGGCGCTCTCCTCAAGGGGCCCCGAGGAGCCTGGCGCGGAAGAGGAGCGGAGCGGCGTCTTCGCGACCGCGTGGCGGATGCTCTTCGCCAGGGACCGTGAAGAGGACGACGAGGAGCTGTGACGGGGATCGCGTCGTGGCGCCTCTCCGGTGCCACACCAACATACTAGTGCTATATCTGCGTCGCCCTCCCAGGGAAGACGCGCGCACCGAGAAATCTTATCGTATATGCGTCGTGGCGGGCGCTTTCTGGCCACGCCGCTCGGGAAACGATATACTACAAGATGGGCATACTATATCTCCCGGTCGGACGCGCGTCTCCAGGGAGGATATATATATGTGTGTGTATATATACATACATATAAAGATATAGTACTAGTCTGTCCTTGCGCCTCCCGTCTATCGCCGTGGCGGGTTCCCAGAGCCGCCGCCCGCGCCCTGCCGGCAGGCGAGCCCCGGGCCCCGCACGCGGTGGGCCAGAGCGCGCCAGCCTCGCTTCCTCCGTGCGGCCTTCTCCCCGCCGCCGCTGCTGCCCACCCCCCACCCGTGTCTCTCCACGTCGTCCTCGCCGTCCTCCCGCTGCCTCGGCCCCACCTTGATTTTGCGACAGCCGATTCTGCTCTCCCTCCTGTCCCCCCCCCGCCGATGCATGCATATACAGATCAATACGTAGACAATCGTCCCTCCCTTGTCCATTCAGAATATATAGGTGTGTGCGTGTGCACATAATTCTCTCTCTCTCTATATATATATATGGAGAGACTCCCCCCTTTCCCCTCCTCGGCCGCATCGTCGTTGTCGTCGCTCTCCTCGTCCTTATCCTTCTCTCTGTGTCAGCCTCGTTCTCCTCAGTCTCCGCATCATCTTCCTTTCCGTCCTCCTCCCTCTTTCTCCTCCTCTTCCTCCTCCGCCTCCTCCTCCTCCTCCTCCTCCTACCCCCGCCAAGGAGCGAGGCTGGGTCGAGACTCTGCAGAGGTCTCCGCCCAAAGCGTGGGGATGCCGCCGTGGACCTCGATACCGTCTGCACCATCTGTGGGTGCTTCATGCAGTGCATGTCAATAAAAGGCTCGTTCCCGCCTCCTCCTCTTCCCCTCTCCTTATCCTTCCCACTCGCCCATATGCACATCACTAGCATCTTACTCCTCATCGTCATCCCCATCCCACCTCTTATACCCCTGCTCTTCCTCGTCCCCCCCCTCCTGATCACAAGCAGTGGCCCGCTCCTCCCCCATGCTCGCCCCGCCCCCAGAATTCGCTTCGTGGGGGGTCCCTGCGGCGGCAGCGCCTACGCTCACAACGCAAAAGCCGATCCCCGTCGCTGACTTCAGAGCCGCATCGCCAGAAGCGCCCCCCCCGCCGCCCTCCCGCGCGCGCCGGTTCACTGGCACGACGGTTGTGCGATCCCCCCCGGGCGGCCCCCGGCGAGTGCTGCGGAACGCAGGGCACGGCAGGCCTGCACCCCCTCGTCGCGGGGCATTGCGGTGGGCGCTCGAGACTGAGACCCCCGGCCGGCCTCAGTAGGACGACGACGACGAGGACGACGACAACGACGACGACGACGACGACGACGACGACGACGACGACGACGACGACGACGGCGGCGGCGGCGGCGGCGACGACGACGACGACGACGACGACGACGACGACGACGACGAGGGAGTGACTCGGCCAGGTGCAGTTCGGCCAGGCTGAACTCGGCCAGCTGAACTCGGCCAGGCGGATCCTGGCCCGACCCGAACTCAGTCTGGCCGAGCTCAGCCTGGCCGAGCACAGCCCAGCCGAGTGCGGCCTAGCCGAGTTCGGCTGGCCGAGCCCAGCCTGGCTATTTTCCCCCGGCCGAGTTTCGTTGCTGCCGTCTGGGACGCCCCAGAGCGGAGACTGCCCACGACTGATCTCCCCACGGAGCCTGCTGCGGCCATGCAGTCAGCATGCAGCCTCCAGGTGCTCAGCCGAGTCCCGCTGCTTGTGCCCACCCGGCTTCGCGGGAGGGGTTCGGGCGGGGCTGGGACGAGGATAACTCGGTTCCAGAGCGCTCGGGAGACGTTCCGGGACGCTCTGAGAAGGCCGCGGCGCTCGAGACATCTTCCAGAGCTGCCCTGATCTCAGATATTCTCAATTTATCCTCACCCGATGTTATCCCCGTCCTGGCTTCGTCTTAGGGGTTTTGGAGGTGGGGCAGCGGCTCCTCGGTACCCCCCCACAGCGGAGACCGCTCACGACCGACCGCCCCACCGAGCCTGCCGTGACCACGCAGTCGGCATGCAGTCTCCAGACGTCCCGCCGAGGCCCGCCCCGCCTGCGCGCCAGTGACCTCATGGGCGGGGTATGGTCTAGGCCTCCTAGATGGGGTCGGAGCAGATGGGGTAAGATGATCGCGCCGCATCTCTGATGCATCCGCGATGCGGCTCAATGCGGAGTTTGATTTTCTCCACGCCTACGTCGCCGATGCGTCGCCGACGTCGGCGAAGCATCGCGATGCACCGCCTATGCATCGGCGATGCATTAGCTATGCGGCGTGATCCTCCGACCCCATCTACTCTGTCCCCATCTAGGAGGCCTCTTGGGGGGGGGCGGTGCAGGAGGATGAGCAGCAGCAGGACGAACAGCAGGGGCTGAGGGGGGAAGAGGAGGAGGAGGAGGAGGAGGAGGAGGAGGAGGAGGAGGAGGAGGAACGGGAGGAGGAGTGGGATCGTGAGAGCAAGAAAGGGGGCGAGCAGGATGAGCAGGAGGAACAGGAGGGGGGGGGGGGCGGGGACCCAGGAGACGGGGGGGCGAGGAGGACCAGAGGAGGAGCAGGATGAGGATCAAAAGCATGAGAAGGAGGAACATACGAGGAGGAGGAGGATGAGGAGGAGGATGAGGAGGAGGAGGAGGAGGATGGGAAGGAGGAGGACGAGGACGAGGACGAGGAGAGGACGTGGAGAAGGAGGTTAAGGAACAGGTCCTGATATGTCTCCCCCTTTCCTCCTATCCTCCTCTTCCCCATCCCACCCTCCAGCTCATCGTCCTCCGCCTTCTCTGCAGGAAGACAGCGACATAAACATAACACGATCGGATGACCGCGTGGATTTTCTCGGATGGGCGCTGGACCCCCCCCTGGCGGCGCCTACGGCGCCGCCCCTTCGGGAGGGGGGAGGGGGCCAGCGCCGATCCGAGAAATCCGCGCGGGAGCTCCCAAAGTTGATGTTGATGGCTTTTTTCCTTTCTTGACTCTCTCCCTCCTGCTTAGCAGCAGGCGGCGGAGTAGGGGACGGTGAACCGAGAAGGGCTCTCGTGGCCGATCCGAGGAGTCCGCGCGGAGCTCCCAGAGTGCATGTCTATGCCGCTTCTCGCGCCGCTGCTCCCTTCGATGCCCCCTCCCGCTCAGCACGCGCCCCGCGCCCTGCCTCAGATCTTAGTGGGCCCTGGAAACGACACGGCCGTTTTTTACTGGTTCCGTTTTGCCGTTTTTGTTGCCGGTTCCGACGCCGCTTTTTTACCGGTTCCGTCGCCGTTGTTTGACCGGTTCCGGCTCCGGTTCCAATCCTGGAGCCGTTTTTGTTGCCGTTTCCGGTCGCCGTTTTTTTGCTGTTTCCATTTTCAAGGGACATTTTTTGGAAACGGTGAAAAGACTGCCTTGCCGTTTCCGGGGCCCACAAAGCCTCAGATCACCAGCCGCCCCTGCCGACACACATCGGCCACGCCCTCCAGGCTCGAGCTCGCGCACGATCTGTGGCGGCCGCGGCTCCGCGACGAGCCGCTCGTCTGCGGCGCGACGCGCCCTGCGCACCCTGCGCGCGCGCGCCCGGCGCACACCTGCGCGCGCCGAAGGCACGCGCTGTTCCACCGAAGCAGCTGCGCGGCCTCCCAGGAGGATGGCTTCGGCAGCGAATCATGGGAGACTGGAGTACCCTCCTGATTCCGTCGATCAGCGTCGATTGGCGTCGATTGGCGTCTGGGAGTCGGCGAGACAGCGCAGATTTAGCGTCGGCTAGCGTCGATTGGCGTCGATTCAGCGCCGACTAGCGTCGATTAGCGTCGACTCGCAAGAGCCGAGCAGATATTACGGGAGGCTCCCATGAGTTGCCACCCAAGATGGCGGTGACCTGAGCTGGGATCTCGAGTGCGGGTCACTCGGGGACCGCTCGGTTGTTGCTCTAGAGGTGCCCCTGGCCCAAGGTGGCCCCAGGACTTCCAGGGAGGCCACCGCGGCCTCCAGAGCATCCCCTCACGAGGCCCAGGGGGCCCTCGAGGGCTCCAAGATTGGGCGAAGCGCTGGGGGCACTTTGGGCCAGGGGCACAGTGGGGGCACGTGCCAAGCAACACCCTGCTCGCCTCCAGGGTGCCCTGGGTTTCTTGGGTTTCCATGGTTCTGCCATGGGAAGGCGCGGCGCTCCCACACCGAAAGTCCAATGGACGTCCTGGGGTCTCAGGGCTGGGCTTCTTGCAGAAGGCTTCTTGCGGACGGGCCTCCACTGTACCTTCAGCAGCCCCCCGAACCGCATGCGCCTCTCGGGCCCGCACGCGGGCGCCCGCGCTGCGGCCTCATGCCCGCACGCGCGGCACGCGCAGACGACGACGACGACGACGACGACGACGACGACGACGACGACGACGACGACGACGACGACGAGGACGAGGACGAGGACGAGGACGACGACGACGACGACGACGACGACGACGACGACGACGACGACGACGACGACGACGACGACGACGACGACGACGACGACGACGACGATAGAAGTCAATCATCAAGGCATGTGCAGTGGAGCGTATTGGAACTCGTGGGGACCTTTGGGGGCCCTCGTGGGCTCTCTTTGGGATCTCTTGGGGCTCTCCTGTTTCTCTCTTGGGGCTCTCTTGGGGCCTCTTGGAGGCCTTGGAGGCCCTCTTGAGGCCATCTTGGAAGCCATCGGTCAAAAAAGGATGGGACGCCGATTTCGCCATCCCTTTCGGGGCCTGAAACATCACCTCTCCTCCTTCTCCTCCTCCTCCTCCTCCTCCTCCTCCTCCTCCTTCTCCTCCTCCTCCTCCTTCTCCTCCCCCTCCCTCCCTCCCTCCCTCCCTCCCTCCCCTCCCTCCCTCCCTCCCTCCTCCTCCTCCTCCTCCTCCCTCCTCCTCCTCCTCCTCCTCCTCCTCCTCCTTCCTCCTCCTCCTCCTCCTCCTCCTCCTCCTCCTCCTCCTCCTCCTCCTCCTCTCCCTCCCTCCCCTCCCTCCCTCCCTCCCTCCCTCCCTCCCTCCCTCCCTCCCTCCCTCCCTCCCTCCCCCTCCTCCTCCTCCTCCTCCTCCTCCTCCTCCTTCCTCCCCCCTCCTCCTCCTCCTCCTCCTCCTCAACCTCCTCTCCTCCTCCCTCCTTCTCCTCCTTTTCCTCCTCCTCCTCCTCCTCCTCCTCCTCCTCTTCCTCCTCCTCCTCTTCCTCCTCTTCCTCCTCCCACGAGCCTCGCGCGTTCGGTCCGGGCGTTGCAGCCAGGCGGCGCCGTCGCGCGCCTTCCGCGAACGGCGGCGGCCCACCTGGGGGGGGCAGGCGGGGCCGCGCTCCCGAAGCGCTCGCCGACGCAGGAGGCACGAGCTGCTGCGGGCCATGGGCTTCCGCCTCGCGCACGTGCCGTTCCACCGGTGGCCCCTGCCCAGGGGAGGGCGGTTCCCGCACATGCTCGCGTCGCATGGGCACACTCGCGGCGGACGGTCTGTGGTAGGTTCCGGCCCTCGGGGGCCATCGCAGGGCAGTGGGAGCGCCAGGAGATCGACAGCGCCGATCCCAGAAACCCGCGCGGAGCTCCGAGTTTGATGTTTTTTATGTCATTCTTCGTTCCCCTGGTGGAAGTAAGTGATAGGAGGTAGCGTGAAGAGAACGAGTTGCAGGTCATGCACCCTCCTGTGAGCTGCAGGCTCCATGCGAGCCTGCCAGACTGACGACTCCACGGTCGGGGAGACGTGGGACCCGAGTGTGCGCCGGGGGCCATCGCAGGGCACTGGGACCTCCAAGCGATCGACGATGGGCTCTGGGTGGGTGCCTCCTGGATGGGGTCGGAGCAGATGGGGTCGGAGGATCGCGGCGCATCGCCGACACCTCGCCGGCACCTCGCCGATGCGTCGGCGATGCAGCGGCGATGCCTCGGCGAGGCAGCGGCGCCAGCCAGCGGGGGCGACGTCGGGAGCCAAGTCGAGCCGCACCGCCGAGGCATCGGGACGAGGGGCCGCGCTCCCGCGGGCGCCCGCGAGGCGAGGGGGCGGCCTGCCCTCGCGCCGGGGGGGGGCGGGGGGGGGGAGGGGCGTGGCCGGCGGAGACGCCCTGGGAGCCGCGGGAGGGCGGTCTGAGCACCTGGGGCGAGGACGGCTCCCAGACACGATGGCGCCGTGAAGGGAGCAGGGCGGGAGGTTCTTGGCTGTGTTCGGCCTCGGGGGGGCCTCGCCGGGCCTCGGGACCGTCAAAAAACGAGCCGGGACGACAAACCGGTCCCGGAGAGAGGGTCGGGACTTCCAGGGGCGCCGTCCTGAAAAAATCTGGACGTCGCACGTCTGGGTCGGAGTGAAGGGGCGAGGTCGGCTAGGGGAGGGTAACCGCTAAAGTTCTTTATTAGTTTGGGTCCCCCCCCCTTGTCCTCTCAGCGGTGAATAGGACTGGTCCTGAAGCCTCCTCCTTCTTCTCCTCCTCCTCTTCCTCCTCCATCTTTCTCCTCCTCCTCCTCCTCCGCCTCCTCCGTCTCTCCCTTCGTAGCTGTCGTCGTCGTTGTTGGGCGGCGGGTGCCGCGTAAAAAATATATGATTAGTTACCCCCGGATTGATGGGACCCCAGTCCTTCATAAGGCCGCCGAACAAGAGTACGTAGCACCCCGCAGTTGTGGATAAGGGTGAGGGGGTGGCGAGGACGTCGTCAGTCTGCGAGGCTCTGAAGAAACCCGCCGCAGGCGCCTAACTTTTACAATTCATGTAAGGAGCCCGCCGCAGGCGCCGATTTCTTCGTTAAAGCAATGTGGGTGGATAGCGGGGTGGGTCGCGGGTGGGTCGTGGGTGGGTCGCGGGTGGGCCGCGGGCCGGGTCGCGGATGGGTCGCGGGTGTGTCGCGTATGGGTCGCGGATGGGTCGCGGGGTCGCGTATGGTCGTGGGTGGGTCGTGGGTGGTCGCGGGGTGGGTCGCGGGTGGGTTCGCGGGTGGTCGCGGTGGGTCGCGGGGTGGGTCTGTGGATCGGTGGGTCGCGGGGGGTCGCGGGGTGGGTCCGGGTGGGTCGCGGGTGGGTCGCAGATGGGTCGCGGTGGGTCACGGGCGGGTCACGGGGTGGGGTCGCGGGTGGGTCGCAGGGGTCGCGGGGTGGGTCGCGGGATGGTGCGGGGTGGGTCGCGGGGTGGTCGCAGGTGGTCGCGGGGTGTCGCGTATGGGTCGTGGGGTGGGTCGTGGGGTGGGTCGCGGGGTGGGTCGCGGTGTGGTCGCGGGTGGTCGCGGGGTGGGTCGCGGGGTGGGTCGCGGGGTGGATCGCGGGGTGGGTCGCGGGGTGGGTCGCGGGTGGGTCGCGGGGTGGGTCGCAGATGGGTCGAGGGTGGGTCACGGGCGGGTCACGGGGTGGGTCGCGGGGTGGGTCGCAGGTGGGTCGCGGGGTGGGTCGCGGGGTGGGTCGCGGGATGGGTCGCGGGGTGGGTCGCGGGGTGAGTCGCTGGTGGGTCGCGGGCGGTTCGGGGTGGACGACAACAACAGCAACAAGAAGAATCCTCCCCGCGGATCCACACTTCAGCCACGCACCCAGGAAAGAATGAGCGTTCGGCCCCCTCACTCTGATTTGTCCCGCATGTGTGTGGTTGGGGTTCTAAAGACTCTTCAGGGTTACCACAATGTTCTCGTGCTTATTGCATGTTCTTGTGCATCCTGAGATCGGATACCCTCGTCTGTTCTTCGGTCTGGCCGGCGGGGCGTGCCATGTTCCTGAGGGATGTTCTTCTGTCTTAGGTCCGACCGCAGGTAGGTTAGATACATCCTCCCGCTCGTCTTGGATTTCTTCGTATATCGGTGAGTGGCGCCCAATAGCGCCAATTAGAATCCAGTATTGCCCAACAGCGCCCCGTACAGTCGGGGCCCTGAAGAAGGAACCCTTTCTGTTGGGGAGGGGCTCCGTGTTCCTTAGTTGCTTTACAGTGCTCCTTGGGTTTTCCTGGGGTATTCCATGGAACATCGGAGTTTAACTTATGGGAGAAAGGGGCCTCGTTCCTTATTTATCGTTCCTTAGGTCAACTCCCCGACTATAGCGCCGAATCGTGCGCAGAGAGCTCCGAGCAGCGCCGACACCCGGGCCTTGGCCGACGCCGGGGCGTGTGCTGGTCCGGGCCGGTGCGATCCCCCCGAGACCCGCCCCCCCCCCCGGGCGCACGGCGGTCTCGAGAGGATCCCCCGAGGGAGGAGGAGGAGGAGGAGGAGGAGGAGGAGGAGGAGGAGGAGGAGGAGGAGGAGGAGGAGGTGCTGGCCTTCCTGGCCCGTCGCGCTCTGGTCTCTCGGGGCGCCCCGGTCTTGCCGGCCGTTGGCGCGGAGGGGGCTCCACGGCTCGTTTGGCCCTCGTGGTGCCGTCGTGGTGGCGAGGCTCTCGTGGACTGGGCAGGGAGGAGGAAGGCGACTGGGAAGAGATGCAGGAAAGATGATGATGTGGATAAAGGGGAGGAGGAGAAGGAGGAGGAGGAGGAGGAGGAGGAGGGAGGAGGACAATGACGAAGGGAAAGGGGAGGAGGAGGAGGAGGAGGAGGAGGAGGAGGAGGAGGAGGGACAAGTTGATGAGGAGGCGCGGTAACGAAGTGGACTCTCAAGGACATGTCCTGTACACGTGCGTGCGATGCTTGGGTCTTTGGCACCAAGTCACGAAGCAAGGCCGCAGCTGCTGCCCTGACAGCCGTGTCCAGCACTCTAGGCAGACACCTTGTCCAACCACAGAGAGGAGGAGATGCGGTGGACCTCGCCCCCCCCAAGACATGCGATGTGTTGATTTTGCCCAACACGGGGTCCGCGGAAGTGCCGACCCTGATGCCCAGGGCGTTCCATCCCGAGTCGTTTGTTGACGGCCCCGTAGCCTGGCGAGGGCCCCGATGGGCCGAATCGGCCACGTGTATAGGAGCGACCCTCTGCCAGACGCCCACGAGGGGCCCCCCTCGCCAGTGGCTTGCGCGCGGGAGCCGGGCCCTCCCCCGCGGCCCCCGAAGGCCGCGCGCCACAGGTCACCAAGTGCCCAGGGCCGCGCGGAGGCGGCCGAGAGAAATCGCCGCCAGGAGCCTCCCGTCGCGTCGTTGTCGCGGCGCGGGCCTCTCTGGGGCCGACGGCCGGCGCCCTCGCCTGCCAGAGGGGGCCTTACCCGGTGAGCTGCCTGCGCCCTGGGGGGGCACGGGCGAGCATGCCGCGACGGACAGCCATCGCTGCGGCTGCTCGAGGGGATATGGGCGGCTCGCCCCGCCCCCCCCCCCCCGAGCCCCCCGCGCCCTGAAGAAAGGCGACGGGCGGTTCCTGTGCACTCTTCGGCCTCTGGGGGCCCTCGCCGGCCCTGGGGGACAGCGAAGGAGCAGCGCGGGCTGAGCAGCCGGCCCCGGGGCAGAGGCCGAGGCTGCTGCAGGGGTGGAGGCTGCAGAACAGTCGATGTCTGGGGGGTCTGGGCCCCTCTGTCGGGCAGGGCTCCGCTCGGCCAGCGGCAGCATCGAGGCGGCGCCCGAGCTCCGCCGGCCCGATGCGATCCGAGTCCCCTCCTCCTCCTTCTCCTCTTCCTCCTCCTCCACCTCCTCCTCCTCCTCGTCCTCCTCCTCCTCCTCGCCCTCCCTGCTCCATCCCTCCCTTCCCCCGCCTTCCTCCGACCCCTCTCCCTCCTCCTCCCCGGACAGGCGCGCGTCCTGCACCAATCTCGACGGGAGGCCTCGGGCCATTTTCGGCCCCTCGGGGCCCTCCCCGTGCCGGGGCCGTGCCTCAAACTGCGCTGGACGAAAAGCACCAGCCCTGGGGAACGGGCCTGAGCTTCCAGGGGGCCCGTCTCGAGCAAAAATGACGACGTCGTCTACCTGGGTTTGCCCGCCCTCCTCTCCCTGCTTCCCTTCCCTCTCCCTCTGGGCCCCCAGTCTCTGCGGCGAGCGAGAGGGGGGGGGGGAAGTGAAGGAGCAGGCCTTCTCAGAAGGTTCGGAGGTCCCCCAGCCTTTGAGAAGTCTTCCCCGAAGACAAACAAAAGCTTCCCAGAAGGCGCGAGGGCTTCTGAGAAGTCCCGCCGCCATCTGAGAAGGCCTTCTCCTTCACATTTTCTCCCCCTCGCTTGCCGCCGATCTGGTGCTCAGGGTCAGTACTCCTGCAACCAGCCGAGACGACCGCTTCTGGCCCCAGCGCGCCGGCGCCCTTGTCTCCCCCCCCCCACACGGTCCTCGTCCCCGTCGCCCTCTCGAGGGCGAGGGGGCGGAGAACGCCCCAGGCCTCCCTGAGCGTCTCAACTAGCATTCGCTCGCCGCCGACGGTCGCCCAGGTGGGCGGCCCTGCAGGGCGACGACGAGGGCAAGGCCGACTTCCTGCGCAGGCTGCTGCCGGCCGCGGCGCTCAGGCGCCGCCCCTGGGCGAGGGGGGAGCGGCGCCGAGCCCGGCGCGGCCCGTGCTGTCCCCGCCGCCGTCGTCGCCACCGATGGCGCCGTCGCCGTCCTCGCCGCGCCGCTGCCGTCGATGCCGTTGCCATCGTGGTCGTCGCCGCGGCTCAGAGAGGAGGATCCGGTACCGCTGCCGCTATATGCTTCGCCCGTTGTCCACTTGTTCGTCTTCCTCGGAGACCCTCGTTGCCACCGCTGGATGCGCTTCGGAACCTGGTCATAACGCACCCCATGTGAGGTCCGGGCAGTAATTCGCGGTATCGGAACCCGTTGGTTTCCCCAGTTGCCGTCGTTGGCATCGCCGTTTTCGCCGTCGCCTACGTCGCCGTCGTCGCAAGCCAGCCATTGCAGTTCCAAATGAGTCCGAACCGCTGTGCACGCTTGTGGTTGATTTTTGCTTCGGGGCCGTTTAGACGTGCACATTGCGCTGCGATGCCACAAACAATAATTCCCCAGTGCCGAGGGCCAAGGCAGGGAGATGCCGATGACATGCGGGCGGAATGCCTGGAGAAATCCGCCGACTTTCCAACATTGAATCTGCACTACGTGTGTGATGGTGCTCGGTATGCAAATTTGACACGCTATACATACAACCGCAAACCTGGAGTGTCACCAGGTTGCCAAGGCGCACGTGTCGTTGACGCTGAGTGCCATCTATGCGCGTCGTATGAGTACTGGACTTAATTTACGCGCGTCGGCACCAAAACGCACTGCATGCCAACGTCTTCTCATTCCACTCTTCAGGTGGAGGGTCAGCATCGCAGGAGGGTGGTCTACCACTGGTGGAGCTCCGCCGCACGCCAGGCCATACAACAAGTCCGCACTCCGTGGCTCATGGGGGGCCAAGGTCGAACGCATCGCTGTATGGACTGTGAGGTTGGGACAAATTGGTTGATTTTATATTTGAATGGCTTTCAGCGTCGTCTTCGCACCGCGCTGGTCAGGCAGCGGCTTTGTGCATGCCGTGTTCAGCGGCTGTCCTTTGCCATTTGGTTCAAGTCTGTAGGCATGTCTTGTGCTACTGCATGTTGTCATAATGGGGGTACGTCGGATTGCGGTCGTCTGTTGTGCAATTCTTGCCGCAGCTCGTGAAACGCGATGGTTCCAGCAGCGCGTCGACCATTTTTCTGCATCGTCGATCCCAAGCTTCGAGCAACGGTATTTGTATGACACGAGCCGGTTATCCATCGGAGGCCCTTTGGTATTTTTCTGTGGAAATGAAGGGGATGTTGAAACCTTCGCGAATTTCAGCGGCTTTGTGCTGGAGATCGCGTCAGAGTTGGGCGCCGCAGTGGTCCATGGCGAGCACCGCTTTTATGGGAAGAGCTTGCCTTTTAAAGACCAACCATTCGACAGGAGCCACATACAGTTTCTTACAGTTGAGCAAGCACTCGCTGATTATGCAGCACTGGTTGCTTTCCTTACTGGTCCAGACGGCCCTGCTGATTTGCATCATGCGAAAGTGATAACAATTGGCGGATCCTACGGCGGAATGTTGAGCAGCTGGATGCGTTCGCATTATCCTTCCCTCGTGTATGCCGCCGTTGCGTCATCAGCACCAGTTCGCTTCGACAAGGTTGGACCTTCGTTCTTCGAGTTGGTGACAGCTGCATCGGCTGCTATGGAACCCTCATGTCCGCAACTCATTCGAGAAGGGTTCGCCGCGATGCTTTCCCCAAAAAACGCGCACCGTCTATCAGGGACTTTTGGCCTATGCAGTAGAACCGTAGATCTGAGTGAATTAGAACTTTGGGCAAGAAACGCTTTTGTGACCCTTGCAATGGGCAATTACCCGTATGCGCAGGACTTATTCGGAAACGGTCTGCTCGCTTGGCCTTTACGCGTAGCGTGCGAAACTTTGTTATCCGCAAGGGATCGAGGCGCATCTGTGCTTGAAGGCTTTGCGTTGTCCGTGAATTCATACTATAACGCAAGCCGTGCGACGCTTTGCCATAATATTCCAGCTGAGTGCAGGACATGTAGTGACCAGACTGGCTGCGGCACGTCCTCCTCGCTTTGGGGAGAAGCTTGGGATGTGGAGGCTTGCTCGCAAATCATTTATCAAGTGGCATCCTGCCAATATCGCCACCCCTTCATCCTTTCCTCTCTTCTCCCCTTTGCAGACTTCCCTCCTTCCATGCCTCTATGCCTGCATGACAGTGCGAACAAGGCAGGCCCAGGAATAGGACCGGGACTAGGGAGGAGGATTAGGAGGAGGATTGGGAGGGGAAATGGTTTTGTATTTCCCAGCAGTTGTTCGGTCTATGCGGCCTGCCACAGCAGATTTGAAGACGGCGAGAGGCCTCTTGGAGGCATGGCGGATGCCTTGTTGGTTCAAGCTTAACAATCCCGCGCGGTCTTGGTGGCCACTTGTGGGTACCATCCTGCAGCAATCTTGGGCCATCAGGCACACCCCACGTGACTGCCCGTTCCCCCCCCTCGCCCATACCTTTGGGGATGTTGCAGGGGTGGCTGGGGTGGGGGAAACGTTTCTTTTCTAAGGGGGGGGGAGTCTTTAAGAATTTGTTCATTTCCTAGTTACCATTATTTGTATTAATTTCCTTGGTAGGGACCGTTTGTGTTATTTGTATGCTATTCTTGCTTAGTCTCTGTTTCTGCATTCTTCTTTTTCAGGGGTAGCGGGGTAGCCGGTTCTTTTGTCGGGAGGGGTACGCGGCCTGCACCCGAAACCACCAACGCCCAGAGAGCGTGTCTTGGATTGGGGCCTCTTCTGGCAAGCAGGGTCGAGCTGTAGCTCCTTGTTGGCGGTCTCAGGGGTCTCTTGGGATGTGGATCCAAGGTCTTGGCGGAAGCTCGGGCTCAGAGGAGAACATGGCACGAATGCCTCTAGCGTTGCCTTGTCCTTGCTCCGAATTCCTGGTCAGAAGGCACCCAGGGAGTGGTCCGGGTAGTAGCGACGTCAGTCTCTTCACGTTTTCCCGTGGAGGGGCCGTTTCCAGACAAATAGTGGGCAGGGGATGGGGCGACGCGTTCTTCCAAACATGTTGAAATCCGACCACCAGGATTTGTCATGGAGTCGGGATGCCCAAAAGGAAATATTGAGGTGGAATCGGGAGCTGATTTGGCATCTTTGCGCAGTCTTGTGCGATTTGGGGGTCTCATCTGGCGAGAGCCGTTTTGGGGGCCTCTGGGCCAGTCTGATGCCAAAGTGGCGAGAGTGCAAAGATGGCTGGGCAGCCACACGCTTGTAGCATGTATAGCTGTCTCTCGGACGTCTCTGTGTTTAGGGTACTGTTCTGGTCCGCATTTTCGGTGACACTATTTGGAGCGTGTTTGGGTTTCTTCTGGTGTCATTTGGCCCTTCGTCGGTGTGCTCGGGGTGGTCGGGTAATCTGGAAGCTCTCTTGAATAATCTGGCGTCCGTGTATAGTCAGTATTGGAGCAATGCAAAGGCCCCAGCATGAGCCTGAATTGGTTTCCGGAGTCGAAGGGTGAATCGGACGCAGAAGGCTCTTCCTACAGGGCAAAGCACCAGCGCACAACGCCCCGCTATCGTTCCAGAGGCGTGGTGGCGGACTATACCAGCACAGACAACGCGACAGACATGTTTCCACCACGAGCTTGGGGTTTGCCCGAACTTCGCTCCTACTGCCGTGCTAAATGGAGATTGGAGCCTCAGCCTTCGTGGTTCCGCCGTTGGTATTCGAAGGTGACGGCGAGCAGTAACATCATTTTTACCAGTGGGTTATTGGATCCGTGGCGCGGTGGCTGTGTGCTGGAAGACATATCACAGGACATTCTGGCATTCTCACATAGGGATGGTGCCCACATCTATGACTTAGCAAGACCCCATGTGAATGACACTCAAGCGGTGGTTGATGTCCGTGGCCGAGTAGTTTCCACACTGCAGTCGTGGCTTGGATGGCCCTTGGATGTAATCCATGTTTGACCCGCTTTCAGAACGCACCCCTGAACGGGGTTTGGCGGGCCATTGCAATCGTCTTCTATGCAGCGCGGTGCCAGCTCGTTTGGTCATCTGTGCCATTCGAGCACACTGTGTGTTCAGATGGCCAAAAGAGTGTGAATCAAACGCTGCAAGCTGCTGAGCGGAAGTGGCAGTGAGCAATCTCGATTGTATGTGTGGTTTCCTTGACATGCCATATCTCGCCCGACGTATAGTTGTAACGTGTACGAGATCATTGATCATGCTGGACCCCCTGCTTTATCTCCATCTCGTCGCCTCCATCAGTGTAGCTGTCCTATCCCTCGCCATCCTCCTCTTCACCTCCTCCTCGACCTCCTTTTCCGCATCCCCTTCAGCTCATCCGCGTCATCTTCTCTCCCTTCTCTTCATCCGCCGCTCGGGCGGGCAGTGCTTCAGACCTCACGCCTCTGAGCAACGTTGCTAGGCAACAGGATCAGCGATGGTCAGTTGCGCGTAAGAATGACCTTTCGCCGGTTTGACCTCCAGTGCGTTCCCACAGGCGTCATTCCTGCATTGTTTTGCGCGCTTGGATTTCAGCTTCCCCGTGGCACCCGAAAGCCGCGCACCAAAAGTCACTATTGCACGGGTCGCTGTTGCGTTTTGCCGAGATGGTCATTTTTGCCGCGCCCTGGTGAACCATAGAGTTTGTCTGGCCGCCGGCTCCCCTGAGCCGCCCTTGGGAGGGGCAGCGGCGCGGTCTTCGAGTAGGAGATCGGCTACAGAATTGATCTACAGTGGGGGCCCATGCCAAGAAACACCCTGCTTGCCTCCAAGGTGCCCGGGGTTTCTCAGGTTTCGATGCTTTTGCCATCGAACGCGCGACGTTCCAGTTCAAAACGTCAATGGACGTCCTGGGGGTCCAGGGTTGTGTTTCTTGTGGAAGGTTTCGTCTGGTCGGGCCCCCACTGTACCCGAACCTGCTGTTCTTCGTCCAGCATGGTCCTAGAGCTCTCTTAAAATCCCGTATACGTTCTGCAGATTCTACAAACATTCCCATTCTTCAGCCACGCGCAGAGGGTGGTGGGGGGTGGGGGGAGGGGGGAGGGCTTCTTAGAAGCACCCCTGCTTCTTAGAAGGCGCGGGCCTTACGTAAGGCCGGCGCCTTCTAAGAAGCACCTCCTTCTAAGAAGCCCCCCCCCTCCCCCCACCCCCTTGTGCGCGCCGCCAGATTCTGGCAGGGAAAGTCGGTTCTGTAGTCGATCTCCTGCTCGAGGTCTGGAGCCCGACCGCAGGCAGCTCCCAGCGCACGGCGCCCCGCTGCGGCCCGCGACGGCTGCCGCTTCGATCGGCGGCGAAAGCCGAACCCTACAGTCGAGGCGTTGACCCGAGGAACCCTAAATAAGGAACGAGGCCCCCATTTTCCACAAGTTAAACTTCGACTTCGTATCGAAAACCTAAGGAAAATCTGAGGCAAGCTGCGAACCAATCAATGAACACGGAGCCCCTCCCCCACGAAAAAGGGGTTCCTTCTTCAGGGCCCCGACTGTACCCTCGCCGATCAACGATTCGGGCCACTCGATGGGCGGCGGGGGTAGAGTCCGCAGTCCCTGGCACCCGTGGCGAAGCCTGGAGCCCCCCCGCCGCCTCCCATGGACTCACGGGCATCGACGGTTGGCGAGGGCAGGGCTCGGAGGTCGCCACGCATTCGAGGGGTGGAGCTTTCGCCGCAGACGTCGCAGGCGATTTCTCGCCCACGATCCCCGAGATCCAGAGTGGCCAGGTTTTTCATCTTGGGTAGCTTTTTGACCGTCCTTGGGCCCGGCAAGGGCCTTCACAAGCTGAAAACGGCAGGACCAATTCCGTCGCAGTGCCCTCACGGCGCATGGGGGTTCCTGGTGGCTTCGATGGTCCCCCAGAGGGGTTCCTTTCCTAGAGGCCCCCCCAGGGTCCTGGAGGGTTCTGGAGGGTTCCACGATTCCCTCGGGGAGGGTGTCGAGGGAGCGTTTCGGGACCCCCCAGGGGTCCTCGAGGGTTCGATGGTATCCGCGGGTTTCAGGGTTCCCGCGGGGATTCATGGAGGGTTCTGGAGGATTCCAGGGTGCCCTTGGAGGTTCCTGGTGGGTTCGAGGGTCAATGGGGGGAGTCGAGGGTTTCCCCGGGGGTCCTGGAGGGTTCGAGGGTCCCCCCAGGACTGAAGGGTTTCAGGGTCCTCCCGGGGTGTTCTGGAGCATTTGGGAGAGTTCCAGGGCCCCCTTGGTTGGTGATTCCAGCAGGGTTCGGGGGGTCTCCAGGGTCCCCCCTGGAGGTTCCTGGAGGGTTCGAGGGACTCCCACGAGCTTCTGTTGGGGGTCAAGGGTCCTCGCGGGCCACCAGAGGGTCGCTGGAGAGTTGCAGCAGCAGGGCGATTTCTGGAAAGTTCCAGGGGGCCCTCGCGGGTCACTGAGGAGTTTCAGGGGGTACCTAGAGAGTTCCAGTTGCTTCCTGGAGAGCGTAACTTAGAGGAGTTAGTGATTTGTAACTTGAACCTGCCAGGAGGGAGGGTTAACAGCCCAGCCAAGGAGATCCATGTACATCCAAGCAAAACGAGGTACATCAAGAGATCTCCAGGGCAACTTGGAGCAAGTCGTGGCCGCTCCAGCGCGAGCCAGGGGCGAGTCAAGGGATCGCATTCGATAACAGCCCAGCCCTGTTCCGCCGCTGCCCTTTCCCGCCCAGCTCTCTCCTGCTGACCATCTTCCGCCCGGCCCTTTTCCGCCGTCGCGCCCTCTCAAGCGGGGACGCTGGCCTCGGCGGAAACGGGCCTCGGCGGTAACGGGCCTCGGCGGAGTCGGGCCTCGGCGGATCTGGACTTCGGCGGAACGGGGCCTCGGCGGAACCGGGCCTCGGCGGCAACAGGCCTCGGCGGAACCGGGCCTCGGCGGAGCCGGGCCTCGGTGGAAGCGCGAACCCGGGCCTCGGCGGATCCGGGCTGCGGTGGACCCGCGCCGACCCCCTGAAGCGAGCTGGTGCGGTTAATCTGAACCTCTTGCCTCGCCGATCAACGATCCAGGCACTTCGATGGGCGGCTAGGGTTCGGAGTTTGTCGCACCCGCGGCGACATCCGAACCCTACCCCTGCCTCCCATCGATTCAGGAGAGTCGATGTTTGGCAGGAGTAGGGTTCCGATGTTGCCACCTCTCCTGGCACCCTGGGTGTGCGGCGCAGGCTGTGTGGCTTCTGCGCAAAGCTGTGTGATGCAAGTTCTGCGGAAGCTATGTGGGGCAAGCTATGTGATGCAAGCTGTGCGTGAGACACGTCGCCGCGCCGTTTGTTCCCACGCGCGGCCCTCCGCCTTGGGCGCCAGGGCGCCTCGGCCGCCGGGGCGAGCGCCGCCCCGGGCGCAAGGGCCTGCCATTTGTCGTCTGGGCTCGCCGTGCATGGTGCTGGCGCCGCCCTTTGGGGCGCGCCGAGAGCCAACGGCGCGGCGGCACCGGATGTCGCCACCGCCCGGCCGCCCCGGCCCAGAATCGCACCTCGCGCTCACCTGCCAAAGCCCCCAGGCCAGCGTGGGTCGCATGGAGCGCCGACGCCCCTCTGGGAGGAGGAGGAGGAGGAGGAGGAGGAGGAGGAGGAGGAGGAGGAGGAGGAGGAGGAGGAGGAGGAGGAGGAGGAGGATCGAGGAGGAGGAGGAGGAGGGGGCAGGGCTCGGATGTCGCCCCCGCCCGGCCGCCCCGGCCGCCAGGCCGGCCGCGGCCTCCGCCGCGGGCGCGGAGGGGGTGCCGTCGCCCGGCGGCGGCGCCGCCGCCTCGGCGCACGCGCGCCGGCCTCGGAGCCGCCCCGCGCGGACCGGCCGATCCGCCGCGCGTTGGCCGAGGCTCCGACTTGCCAAAGGTCGACCACGCGCAGAATTACCTACCCCGCTTTCGCTTCCAGGCAAGACCAAGCCATACCACGCGCCTCCTCGTCAAGCGGCCTGACCAGCACAGGCCGTAGTTTGGCATCGCTTGGTATCTCTTGGAAGCGAGGGTGGTCAAAAGCGTGGTAGGTTTGTTTGCCCCCTAAAAGTTCGACCATGCGCAGATCCAGGTGTTGCTAGAAGGAAGTCGGGCATGCCCCTCAACATGGGGGGAATCTTCAAAAATAGTACAAAATAGTCGGGGAGACGATTTTTGTGACGACTTGTTGCACATTTGTGCTGTTGCTATTTTTCATGTGTCGTCCAAAATCTGCCTGTAGGGGGACACGCCCGACCTACTGCTAGAGAAGTGCCCCTGGCCCAGGGTGCCCCCAGGAGTTCCAAGGCGCCCCCCGCTGCCTGCAGAGCACCCCTCTCTCGAGGCCTGTAGGGCCCCGGGTGCTCCAAGATTGAACGACAAGCTGGGGGCCCCTTTGGGCCGGGGGCACCTTGCGCAACCTCCGACATAGGGGGGGGCAGGGGGAAGGGGGGGAGGCTACTCCAGATTTTGCAATAAAGGGAGGGGGGTCTCATTTCGGGGGGGTCTCTTCCAGGCTATCTTGGAGGGCCTGGGGGGTCTGGGGACGATGTTTTGGAGGGTTCTCCCACGGGGGGGGGGTCTAAAACTTTTCGTCTGGGAGGGTTGAGACCCCCTCCCTTTTATTACGAAATCTGGAGTACCTAGAAGCACCCCCTGCTTCTCAGAAGAGGCGGGCCTTGTCAGGAGATGCAGGGCCAGCGCCCTCCAATAAGCGGCCTCCTTCTGAGAAGCCTTCCCCGTCCCCCTACTCCCTCGCGCGCGCCGCCAGAAATTGTCTCGTTGTAGTTGATGGACCGTTTTCGGCCCCCGGGGGGCCCTCGCCAGGCCCTGGGGTGAAAAACCGGCTCTGCAGAGAGGGGTCGGGACATCCGGCATTCCGTATTGAAAAATTGAAGGTATCGCATGCTGCCAGCCGATCCCGCGATTGATGCCAGGGGCCGCCCTTCAGCCTGACCGCCCCGCGGCCTCGCTGCGTGAGAATGCCCCCGCGTTCCTTTCCCCTCTCTACGGCCGCTCTCTCCCCCCTTTCTTCGCTTCTTACATGCGGGCCAACTCGCGACTCCGTAGCCAGGTGCTGCTACTCGCCACCGCTCACCAAAGCACCCCAACCCAACCCGAAGACCCCGATTTGCCTTCCATTTCCAGTGGGGGGGAGATTGTGGGGAACATTGGAAAACACGTGTGGAGCCCGTGCCCCCCCCAGCCTGAAATTCGGGTCTTCGGGGGGGTAGGTTGGGGTGCTCTGGTAGGTAGTCAGCTCGCGGGGAGCGGAGTGCCGCTGCGCCGCGACGGGCGGGAGGAGGAGAAGGAGGAGGAGGAGGAGAAGGAGTAGGAGGAGGAGGAGGAGGAGGAGGAGGAGGAGGAGGAGGAGGAGGAGGAGGAGGAGGAGGAGGAGTGCCGCTGCCGCGCCGCTGTCTGGGTTCCACTGTGCCGGCCTCTGGGGGCTGTCCTCGAGCCCTGAGCCCACGGAGAGCGGGTCCAGGGCGCGGGAGGACTGGAGCCGCGAACCGACGTGGTCGCAGCGCATGTCCTTTGGGTCGTCGCCGCGGTTGGGAGGGCTTGGAGGGTTTCTCCGAAGGGCTTAGGCGAC